TTTTGTAAGGGTTTGGAAGTTGATCACGTGATACCACACTGACCGACAGAAAAATTATTGGTTTAAGCTACACTACTGACAACAGGCAATGGACCTTTTTTAAAAATCTGCTTAATTAAAAAAAGACATATTTGATCATTTTTGTATATCAAAAATCATTATGTGTAGCCTGATTCCTGAAATGAATAACTCTTATGAAATGAAACTTTTTTAGCACATACAGCAAATTCATATACTAATAATTCTTATAAACCGGTTCCTTGCATGAATCCAAAACATAAAACTACATGTAGCTCAAATCACAAAACAAATAACTATATTGAATAATGTTTTTAATCAGTCTAAAACACTACCCCTGTTTAATTTACAGCTTTAGCAGAAAGAGAGAGTTTCTTTCATATATCTGCAAAATGAATATTTGATCTAAAACACCCAAATGCATTAGAATCAAGAGCTTGTGAATTATAATCAAACTGAACAGGGAATTCTGTATCAACCTTACCCACATGTAATACATGTACACATAATGCATATGATTTTTATTAGACATCCCTGTATTAGCTCACTCTAAGATAACAAACACCTTGGTAAACACCACAAAACAAGGTTTAATGTCAGTAGTAACCAACATATCAGTTTGGTGACAAGATGCATGCAACTTTTCTTTCTGTCCCCTACCAGCAACTTGAAATGATTAAAAAACAAATTACACTGCGAGTGACATGGCAGCCCATTCATCAGTGTCATGTGAGGCTGGGCCTCGTGGGGCTGCTGAGGAGACTTTGAGAGTGGCCAGTAATGACAAAACCCCTCCATGCTCCATAGAAATACAGCTGCTAGGTGATGCTGACCAGCTTTTTATTCAGTCTACATATGCAAAGGCACCCAAAGATGGTCTTGTTCATTTCCTTCCTGTCTCTCTCTACTGTCTGGTCTCGGGTCCCTCCTGAGCCTGGCTCACAGCCTTTTACCTTGTGTCCTCTGCTTTACCTCTGTACACCCGCCAATGTTTGCTCTCCGTGAGTATGACTTCAATAGACTTTTTAACAATGGCTCCTGCTGTTTACACACCGTGAAGAAACCTTCCCCTTCTGCACTTATCTTTGAGAAAAAAAGTCACCTCTGTAATTCCTTCCTGCTGGTTAATGCTCCAAAATTTAAACGGTGGAACAAATAATAGAAAGAGAAACTGGTCTTGTTAATTACCGGCAAAGACTTCAGTGTTTGAAAGAGCTATAAACAGAATCGTGTGATTTAACAGTCTGGCCCGTTCTCAAAAAACCTGGCCCAAAAAGATAGTGTGTTTGTGTTTTATACGCTTAAACAAGCCACATCTCTTTTGTTGTTTTGCTGTATGTATTTATGCCACTCACAATACTACATAATTTTTGTCCGTAACTCAAAGTTAAAGCTGCAGTAAGCAACTTCTATTTTTGAATGACATGCAAAAATATCCCTACTACCTGTCAGGTAGCACTGAAATTGGTGTCCTGAGAAATATCACTCGTTTCTGTGACAGCATTAGACTTTATAAACGGCTCTGTAAAAGAGGAAAAATAACTGAGGCTTGCAAACATCAGCCAATCAGAAAACTTGACGGCAGATTTCTGCCAATGGTGTATGTTTGTAGGCAGTTATATGTTTGGGGTTATTTGTTGAATAATGAAAGAAAGAGGAATGTTTAGGTAATTATCACTTACAACAGCTTTAATATGACAGGTAGAAGAATACTTTGTGTGTAGGATACATGACACACCCTTGTTTTTAATAAAAGCTAGATGGAGCGTAACATAAGCAGTCGCCAGACGTAAAGGAATTTTTAAAGGAATAGTTCTCCCTTTCTGTCATCATTTATTCACCTTCATGTCAATCTAAATCTTTAGAACTTCTTTCTCCTGCAGAACACAAACAAAAAGATATTTTGGAGATTGTTTCAATCATTTTTGTCCGTACAGTTAAAGCCACTGGAGTCCAAAACAACACTGTTCCCCGCTGACTTTCCTTGTACAGACAAAAAAAATATATTTTTTCTTCTTTTGGGTTGTGAAAGCCAGCCATACAGATTTGGAATGACATGAGGGTGAGTAAATGATGACAGAATTGTCATTTTTGGATTCAGAAACACGGCACTCATGGTACAAAGTGCTAATAGCGAGATGCATCGCAGCTGTCAAAAAACATCTGTTTAGAGTATGTCTACCTTAAAAAGACAAGAATGTAGCCAGTGCTAATGACCCGACTTCTCATGTTATTACACTCTGTCAAAAACAGGCTATACTTGAAGTACAGGATTGTAAGTCCAGAGCATAAAAAATGACAAAATTTGCCTATATAATTGTCTCTTTCATAATTCTTGTTAAGGTAGAAAAACCCCCACAAACAAAATTTCTTTCTTTGTAATGCTTGTGGTTATTATGCAATTAATCTAAACCTGGGGTTCATAATGTCTTCTTCAAAAGGAAGTCTATAATTACACCCATGAACCGAGTATGAGGGACCTTCATCAATTTTTCTCATCACATGCTCTACTTTGGATCAGCAACACATGTGATGAGGGAACGCAATCTGTGCCATGTGTTTCAACAGATGTGTCAAGAACGCGTCGATGCATTTGTGAAAAACAATGTTTTCTGAGAACTTTTGCAGAAATGTCAGATATGCCAATGTGAACTTTCTGATCTGCAGAGATTGTTTAATAAAAGCAGATCTCTCAGGCACGCTGGTCTCGCTGGCACACCTCTTCCATTTAAACGCAGCACAACAGCCGAATCCCTGGGTGACAGTCAAACACAGATGAAAACGTTCTTCACTCTGCAAAGTGTTATTGCTTGCACAAATCACAAAGCAACAATCCCTTTACTTATCACCTGTACGGCAGTCACCACCAGAGAGAATACATCTAGTAATTAGAGCAAAATGGCTTCGCTCCTTTCCTTTCATTATTGCAATTAACCTACTGAACCCGATCTCTAACGAAGGGGGGAAGGATGTTGTATCAAATTCCAGGGACGTTTCATAGCAGCGGTAGCTCTTCTCTTCCTGCGTGATAATGAGGACGAGACTGGAATTGACATGTAAGGTCTGAAAAGTGAAGTTTCTGAAAAGAGCAAGCTGGAAACTGTACTGGATGTAGCCAGAGATGGAGATGAGATCAAAGATAAAAAAAATGGGGCTCTCTAGAACATGTGGTAGTTTTTATTTTTAATTACCACATGTACTTAAAAAAAAAAAAATTGTAGCTAAAGATGCAAAATAATAGCATTGTTGTCAGATTGTATTGCTGCTTTATGAAATATAATATTGAAAGAAACAGTTTTGGAGATTTTAGTCATTCCCTGTCCAAGTACATAGACCTAATCACCTTCTCAGTGTAATTTAGAATAGTAGATGTCAAATTTTTTGACTCCAAATCCCCCTGTCCAAGACAAAATTTAAAGGCCCTGATATTTCATTTTATTTCATTTAATTTCAGCCCTGGAAGTTTGCAGAGACCCACTATTTGAGAACCACTGTTCTACAACATGCATAAGTAAATCTTTAGCATTAATGTAGCGAAATGATAGCATTTCTGTCAGATTTTCTGATTGACAAAATATATTACTGAAACACACTCATCACAGTTTTAAAGATTTTAGTTTTTCGCTATTCATGTGCAAGTCTGATGCACACTATAAGTTATTTTAACTTGATTGTAGCTTAAAGGGGTCATATGATGCAATTTCAATTTTTCCTTTCTCTTTGGAGTGTTACAAGCTCTTGGTGCATAAAGAAGATCTGTAAAGTTGCAAAGACTAAAGTCTCAAATCCAAAGAGATATTCTTGATAAAAGTTAAGAGTCAGCTGTGGAAAATAATGTGTTTTTTGAACCTTAAACTGCATAAACACATTTCATTACACCAAATACACAAAATAATTTTCTTTTTAGCAACATCATATGACCCCTTTAAGATGATAAATGACTCCCCTGTTGCAAGATTTCATTGCTGATTTATGAAATATATAATAGAAACATACACTTAACCAACAGTTTTAAAGATTTTGGCCTTTCCCTATCAGACAGGATCAATACTTGTATGCCTAATATCTACAAAAAATAGATGCCTGGAGTTGCCAAGATGACATCCATGTACCAAAATAAGCAAAAATATTTATATTTGTGTGTGTGTGTGTGTATATATATATTTACGTTAGTGCTGTCAAACGATAAATCGCATCCAAAATAAACGTTTTTGTTTACATAATATATTTGTGTGCACTGTGTGTATTTATTATGTATATATAAATACACACACATGCATGTATATATTTAAGAAAAATATGTTATGCTTATATATGAAATATATTTATACATATAAATGCATGTAAATATTTAAAAAATATACACTGTATGTGTGTGTATTTATATATACATAATAAATATACAGAGAACACATACATATATTATGTACACACATTTTTTTGTGTGGATGCGATTAATCGCCATTAATAGTTTGACAGCACTAGTATTTTATTTATTTTATTTTACATCAAGGTGTATATGCCGTGCCTCCAAGCTTGCTTATTCATTTAGCTAATAAACGTTCTATGTTTCTTATTTATTTGGTTGCACAGTGTTTGCGGATTTTCATTTTTGTATACCTACCTATTTAAACTTTGTGTAGCCCAAGTAATTTGTTATTTTATATTAGGCATATAGCATGGTTTATTTTTATCCGTTTTGTTCATAAAAGTTCTATGAGTTTGGCGTTGTATTTTGTTGTTGCTTGAATTTAATCGACAGCAAATTGCTGCTAATTTGAAAGTGAAAGTAATATACGCACAGTGCTTTTACAAGCTATTTAAAAGAGAAGGAAAGCGAGGAAAAGAGGGAAAACTCAAACGAACCAACCTGTTTTGGGCTTATTTTTTCCGAATTTCAGGTACCGATACCATACCGGTTAAAATGTAAACGGTACCCAACCCTAATAATAACATGTCTAACTGATCTACTGACTACTTACCCGTTTCTGTGATGTGATGCTTGCGACTGACTGTCTTTACTGAGGTAGAGAGTTGTTCGTCTTCATTCTCTGAAGCGTCTGGAGATCACAACAGTACAAGTTAAACCACATGCCAAAACTGCATGTTTAGAAGCAAAAATGGTTTCTTACAATCATAACATACACAATTTCTTTCTAAGCAAAGGTGATGCTGTAAATCAGTCAATGCGTATCAAAACAGTTTTATATTTTGTCTAAAGCAGGGGTGCCCAGTCCAGGGGTCCGTTCTTTGAACCTTGTTTAATACATCTGAGATGATTTAACAGATGACAGATATTCTAATCGTGATAACTGATCTTTGGTTTGGTTCTTCAAACGAATTTGTGGATTTGATATAATATATATGTGGATAAAGTGGTTAAAGATTGCTGCACGTTCTTCTGTTCAGGGGAAAGGGCAGATATATCGATACTCTAAATGTTTGTAACCAAACAGCGTTGGGTCACCATTGACTTCCGTTAGGGCTGGGCGATTTTCCCCATTTTATAGATTAATTTTAATTTAATGTTTTGCCACGATTTACGTTTTTTAGAAATCGAGGAATCGCGATTTTGAATAGAAATATTTCCAAACGTTACAATTAGACACTTTGACAATATGCCAATGAAAACAGTAAAGAGAAAAGAACGATCTAACCGCACGTGATTAACTGCTCTGTGAAGGACTGTAAATATATAGTTAGGCACCATTTACACAGAATGTGCTTCTGTGCTGACACAGATGTGACGTGGGCAATGGAATAAGAAAACATGCAAGAAGACGGGAGTGAACTTCTTTTAACTTTAGTGCAGTGATTATAGACTGCCGTTTCATGCATGAGACGCTGCAAGAGATGTGAGCGCAACAATCAAAGGCGTCCATGTTTACATAGAAAAATAATGGGAAAGCAGCGCAATCAAATACAAAACCTGAAACGTCTACTGTATGTCTGATATTTGATATTTGCATCATGGTGACAGACTGAAAGCTGCTGATCATTGTTTTTACAGAACGTTTATAGTTAATAATAGTCTACTGGTGAATATGAATTACCTTAGCTTTTGAGATTTTTTTTAAAGCATTTTCCGCAACTTCCGTAGTATTTATTTTCTTATTTATTCAGTGGTGCCCCAAAACGGTTTGGTTACAAACATTCTTTAAAATACCTTACTTTGTGTTCCGCTAAACAAAGCAATTCATGCAGGTTTGGGACCACTTGAGGGTGAGTAAATGATAGCAGAATTTACATTTTTGGGTGAACTATCACTTCGAAGTTAAGATAGAGTAGAATACGTTTTACTCCAGGACTCTATGGTTGTGGATTGTTCCTTGCAGGATTTAAATCAGCAACCTATAGATTATCGCCTCTAAGCTAACCAATAGATCCCTTTAGTACTGACCTTCTTCTGTGGTCTGGCATTCATGCTCTTGCAGGCCTCTGGAAGCAGGGCTTGTGTCATTTTCCGTCTCTGTAAAGCACACAATTAAAAAAGATGGCATAAGAACAAAACAACATAAAAACACAGATATAATACATTTAATACAATCACTGTAGTGTGAAAATCCAAATCCATTTTACTCACCCTCTGTACTAAATGTAATCTCCTCCAAAGATTTTCCTTTGTAACAATCGGATCCTTTTTCTAGAGACAAAAGCAACTTGCTAACTTTTGCAAGTTGAATTGTATTTTCGGACAGTCTGTAGTACTCACGGTGCACTCTAATGTCGTGTCCCAGGAATTTGGCCAATTGGTCAAGTTCATTGTTTTTTAAATTCATGATCTGACTCAGAGTTGCTATTTGTTTCCTTAATTTGGTCGACGTAAGGCTCCTGGGGTCTTTTGCACCACACGTTTTTGAAAGCTTCCTCAAACAGTCTGATCCACGGATGTGTGTTAAAGCCCCCACTCTTGCAAAAACGTAAGGATTGGCTTCGTCGATGCCCACTTTGCTCCTGCTTTCATTCAGCATGTCCATGGACTCAACCATGTCCTTCGTCAGCAGGACAGGCACTTTCTTGCCTCTCTTCCCTCGTATCTCTAATCGAGTCAGCTCATTGCACAACTCCCGTTCTAATTTAGTCAGAGATTTGACCACATCTTCGTTAGGAGGCTTCACGTTTCGACTCACGTATGATGCAAGGAGCAATTTGGATGCCTCACCTTCACGTCTCCGATTAAAAAGAATGATTTGACAGAGTAAAGTCTCAGCCAAGATTTTCCAGTCAGCGCCATTCACGTTCTCTTTGAGTTTTTCTTTTGAGACCTGCTCCACACTTTTGAGATGCTTTTGTAAAGCCACAACATCTTCCGTAAGAGGGATGGTGTCACCCTTGTTCCACTTGCTCTGCTGCAAGGTGTTGAGGGCCTGACTCGAAATGTTGGTACGCCAATGACTGTCAATTAGCTTGATGAAGTTTTTCAGCTTCTTCTCAGTGTCTCTGTCCCCTGCCATTAAACTTTGTCCCAAACTAAGCTGACAGGCTTTCTTCAGGGAGTATCCGATCTTCAGAGCAAGAGAGGGGGTTTTAAACGTATTTAAATCCGGTTGATAGTTGCTCACTTCTTTACAAGCAGTGATGGCTAGGAGAAAGTTCTCAGGGTTACAAAGCTCTGAAAGGTTCCTCACTTTTTTGGATTTTGACTTTACTTCAATCATAAACCTGGCCAGCTCTCTCATTTTTTGAATGATGTACTGATGCTGTGACTTATCATGACCACACTTTGTATAAAGTGATTCACCGTAGAGACATATCAAACTGTCCTTCATAATTGTTTCTGTGATTTCATCTTGTCTCATACCTTGCAAGAGAGATGTAATACCAGCAGAGCACTTTGCTGGGGTTGGTATCAGACAGGCTGCAGCTGATCTCACTCGCTCACCTTTTGTTTTTGTCGCATCCCGCTGTCCCCTACATGTCTTAGAGTGTTTCCATAGGTCTTTTTTCATGAAGAAGGCCAGGCAATCTGGGCAGGGAAGGAAATCAGAAATGTCTGCATCGTCCCCACTGGATGCAACAAATGCCTCGTTTATAATGGGTTTTAATGTTTTTGTCTCGTCGCTCCGGCCAGGACATGGCATCACAGGGGCGTAACGGGCGTAACATTTCCGTCACACGCTTGAGGTATTCGGCCAATCACAACGCACTGGATAGCACAGCACACCTCGCTTTTTCACACCGATGAGCTTTGTAAAAATCGACGCGTTTCAAAAAGGCGGGGCATAGAGGAGAAACAATAATGTACAGTATGT